AAACAATTTGCATGCAGTTTTAATTTAAATTAGAACGTATCTCCAATGGTAAACAAGCGGTTATGTTTGTTTTCCATTTTGCTCTTCCAAGTGTGACGGTAAAAACCACGTACAGCTCCAGCCTTGATGATTTCGGAAAGCTTGATTTGTCTGATGCCAGCCAAACAAAATTACCAAGCTTTTAACCTACCACTATCTTCCCGTAATCACCTGATAAGTGCCCTTTCACTGTGGAAAATGCGGCTTTAAATTTACAAAATAAGCCCGCTACTCTTAGACTGAGATGACACACAAAAACAAGATAAGAGAGTTAAATCACACAGATCAGACGCCGCATTAAAGTAACATTCGAATGCACACGTCAGTTTAAACAGGAGCGACCTGCTCTCGTCCTCTCTCTCTCTCTCTCTCGATGACTTGATATATAAAGCGGTTTTATGATAGCTCGAACATAAACATAGCAAGGCACTGCAATAGCGCTTGATACCCTCCTGAAAAAGAACAAATAAATTTATCTGCATTGAGCGAATAATAAATACACGCCTTTGATAAGTCATGAAGTCGATTTTGTGGCCACCAGGCGCAATCACAAGTAAAGTTGACCACTTTATCGAGAATTCCCTATCACAATCCACAGTCAATGTTGGGAGTTCAATCGTAAGAAAAAGAAGGGACAGTAGATGGACATCATTTCCCCTTCACCCCCTCCGATGGTTGCACTTGCCTTAAGCATCGTACACAAGGTGCAAGGACCTCATTCGCAGTTTAATGCAAGGAGGCAACAAATCGGCCATTCCCTTCCACGATATTTAACTGCATGAGGCTGGAGCCGAAATTATGCAGTGAAAGTTATCACCCGCGTCAGGTGGTGTAGTAAAAGAACTGGATTTAATATTTGCGATTATTAAACAACCCATACCTGATATACTCATGATAATCTTCCTTCCAACTGATCTTTCAGCCCAAATTTGTTGCTAGTACTGGCAGCCGAATATCCACAACAAAATTTAAAAACCAGTAATAAGCATAACCCTAACCAATGCACTATATAGTGAATAGTTCTCTAACTATTACATTATCCTAACAGAAAATCCCTTGTATCGCCACATGATTTAATGGAATGAGTAATGTTGAAAAGAAAGGTATCAAAGGCATGGAAATCTTCCCAATACAATTACACGAAAACAACTATTGAAAATCCTCAACGTCATTCAGAAGAAATGTAACCAACTTGTTCTGAGGGCATTTGCAGTGGGTTCCGTTGCTCTTCCTCTCCCAGCTCCTGTTGCTGTGAGCATTGCTTCTGAGAGGTTGAGTGAGTTTTATCCTGTTTGACCATTTCAATTCCTCCTTCACCAGCCACTGGAAGCTCAGAGTGCAATGGCATTTCCAGCGTCGAGGTCCCGGATGGCTGTAGCATATCCTGATATATATTTTCTGAGAAGCGAGGTTAAGGTAAACATGAGCTCTATGATATGGGAGAAGAATCAGGCTAACCATAGGAAATGATCCTATTTATACAATAGCTCGGGAGCATAAATAGCTAACAGATCTAGAATAACTAAATCTTACGCTGCAAGGGGTCATTCAGCAGGAGCGGTTCCATGGAATGTGAGGCAGATGGCTGATTCGCCGTGAGGGTGTTGATGAAGGTTGAGAAAGAAGAGGAATCTTCCTGATGGACCATATCGGTAGTAGCTTGGGTTTCGGGAGCGAAGTGAAGGAAATTTGGGGAAGTGAGAGGTTGAGGAACCTCTTTGGTGGGGGTTCCCAGATCTAGACCTGGCGGAGCATTCGCCATGAAAGCGTTCAGGAGTGACTTAAGCGAATCGCTCGTCGACACATTCGAACAGGCGTCAATAGAGAAGGGAAGGCTTATCTCGCCCTGGTTTGACTGAGAAGATAGCGCCGCAGTCCCTGCGGTGGGTATGTCTGCGACGGGATTGATTGCGGCTACGCCCTGAGCCTTAAACAAAGCAGTGACGGTGTTTCGTTTAGAGGAAATCATAAAAGTTCTGGTAGAAATCATATCCACTGCTTCGGATGATGAAGTCACTTGGTCATTGGAAGCGTTAGATCTTCATCATCCAGTAGAGTAGATGCAGTCACTGATGTTAATGCCAATGAAAATGATTCAATTGGGCTAAGAATTTACAATGTTTGTTTCATTGCTTTCCAAATGCAGATACGCATTCAACTAGTGCATAAAAGGAAGATGCGCTGACGGAATGATTGTCCTTCGTGTTGGACAAGATGTCTTTCTAACTCAGAAGCTACATCAGCATGCATTATTTAATCAAACGAAACAGCCTTCGTAGAGTCAAACAGTGGTGACTGCATTAATGAATGGGCGCTGTTTACAGAAATAGTTAAAGACAATGCTGAACCACTCAAGCAGCACCCAGCAGCGCCAGAATGCAGGTTACTGTAAAGGATGGACAGTGAGATAGCGAGACTCCTTAAACCCTATCCGTTGTCCAGTTTTACTTCCATAAAAAGATTTGCTCATGTGAGGCAATGGAACACGATAGCCATTGGTAGCCCTTATTTTATCTTGCTGGCGTTTCAGTGTTCAACTTACTCAAGGTACGAAACACACGGGTCCAAGACAGGTTTGTTTGCATTCAACATAGTGTTTTTATTTTGTGACAGTGAAATAAGTTGTCGCCTGCCTGACCAATGTGTCCACAATGAAAAACCAATCTTACTATCCTGCTATTAAAATGCTAAATAAATCCGTATGAAGTAATTTGTCAACCAAGAGAAAGCTTGAGCGCTATAACATATCGAAGTTAATGAATAACTTCCTATGCGTTTCATAAATCCTATGCCAATAAGCCAAAAATTCACGGAACTTGTTCAGAAAACAAGATGGTGTTGGATAGAATCTAGATGTCTGTGAAAAGTTTATTAACATATCTCTGTTAATTTCCACCGTAGAGGCAGACAAAGGAGTGTCATAAGGTGTGTCCGCATAACAACCAATGCTCCAGAGGCGGCAAAAGTGTTAGCCAATTTCAATTAGACGAAGTACACACACAATAGCCGAAAAAGCCCAAATCAGTGATTTGTTGCCATTTTAGATAATGTGTTCGTGAAGTCGGCTTAGTTACCTCGTCCATACTGCCAACAAGACCAAGGAAGAGTGGTGACTAAGACAAGTCGGTCCAAATCCAAATTTTAACCGGAAAATGTTCGTAAGTGATCCACATGAAAATGGTTAGGCCATTTTCCCTCTTTGGATACACATTATGATGAATGTGTCAAGTGAAAGTGTGGATTTAACTAGTTCACCTAGATCAAAGGCTAGTAAAATTCTACAGCAACTTTTGATGCATTACGTACATTAACTTCGTCATTTGCGTACTGAAAACAGAAAGTTGGATATCAAGTAGCCATAGTTTGCCTATCAAAAACATGTCCAGCCAGTTTGACCAAGTCTCTAACTTTCGCCCCATTAAAGGTGAACCATGTGGACGGGGTGCGAAAAAGCCAATTAATTAACGCAGGAAAACTAAATTTCAGCATTTGCTTGCAGACGAACCAGTACTTTTTTTCTGTGACAAGAAATTTCCTGTTACAACGCGCAAATTATAGTTTGATCGCTGGAGTATTTTAGTTAAAATTACCTTAAAAAGTTAAACAAATATCCCCTAATCGTAGCATCAAAAAGGGCTTTTTATATATATAATAATTTGTGTAGCTTTGAAGGAAAAGTTCGTTAAACTACTTGATTTAGGGGCAGCCAAGGCGATCGCCGCAGTAAGTGGTTGAGGTGAACAACTCAAGCAGTGAGAATGCAAGGAGAACAAAAAGCAGGGCTTTGGGGCTCTTCAAAAACCCCATCACAGTGTTTTGCCTCAGATGTTTACTCCAATTGGACTTCCGACCTGAGGCTACCCAGTAAAAACCTCTCGGAGGGAACTGGACTTGCAAAGCCTGCAGCAAAAGGTATTTGGCATCGATATTTTCGTGAGCACCCGGGACCTTAAACATGGTGACCGTCACAGTTAAATGTCTACCAGATTAAAAGGTACGTAGTCATTTAACACTACTTAAAACAAGGTTGGGAATGATGATATTCCAGGACAAAGAACGTGCACGTGTTAATCTGAAATTGTCATTTAGAAAATATGAAAGAATTCCAAGGTCCTATCACAGTTTAATTTGATAAAAATCTAGTTAAACCAAACTGCTGAAAATCGGTATACAGAAGTCCCAAGCATTCAGAACCAGTATTTAAAAAATGCACAATCAGGTTCATAAGATCTGTGAGCGAATACCAGGATCGGCCACAAGAGATGCACTCCAATAGCTCACCGCCCTGATCGTCTTACGGTCTGTTGCACTAATATTTCGCTTTGGTCGTGCTTGAGGTAATATCGTAGCCAGAAGTAGAGAAATTGAGGTAAAGTAGCTAGTTGACATTTTAATGTTTGAAATGGATTCCAAAAAGACCAGTTCTTCAAGACATGACCAAACTAAGGTTGGCATAATTTTTAATCCACCTAATGTTTGTAGAGCTGCAAAAAATAAAGTGGTGACGCGAATATCGTCAGAAATTATGCTGCCCCAAATGGCAGTCAAATGGTTACTACGGCGACAATGTGACAACACAATCAAGTTTATTAATTGAAATTAGAAACTACAATATGAACCATCAGTAGAACCATGCCCATGCATTGTGAACAATTTCCTGCCAATAAAGGCCTCATGAGCTAACAACATGAGTGAAGTCAACTTGTGCTTTATGCTCTCTTTGCAGCAGCACAACTTTTAACAACCCAAAATTCAAATCGTACGGGGGAGATGGAGGGGGAACGAGAAAATGAGAGCACGACAGCAAACGCTTACAGCCAATTGGTGTAATTTTTAAAAAGAAGAATGATGACGCTACAAATTGTCGAAAGTATATTGACATGCTTTGCCACTTATCATAAGCAGTAGTATCACGCACCATATGCGATGAAATGTTCTCCGTTGTTGACGCCTCCGCAAAAGAAGCCAGCGGTTGAGAGGACGGCAGGTTCTGCTGCACTGGAAGAGCAGGGACAAACCTGTGTCTGCGCAAGGCGCCCATGGCCATGCGGTGTCTGCGCACCCTCCGCGCTTGGTTCTGGCTGAAGGTCCGCAGCGCATGTAGCGAGGTGGCGGGCGGTGGGGCAGGCGCCTTACAGACAGGCAAGTTGGCGATAGCAGCGGTGGCGGAGTGAAGCGGTGGTATGGGTAATTTTGGAGCCGGCAGCGGAAGGATTGGACGCGGAGACGACGATGACGTGAGGGGAGCTGTGAGGCCAGAATCGCCAATGCTAGAGGACTGTGGGACCACAGGCCGTTGCATATTTAGCTGTCGCGCAACGACCATCTTGGTCTTTTGCTTTTGCTAAAAGGGACACAATAAAGATATTAACGCACCACTACATAGTTTGTAGCATGTCTTGCTATAGGTGATTATCAAGAAGAGTGAGCGACAGTTGCCATGTTCTCATGAGATACTGATCTATGTATATCGAGGTGAAAACAACATAAATCAGCTAATTGGAGAAGATACAAGAAAACACTTTGATTCCAGCCAGAAATGATGGGAAATAACCAACAAATAGCTAATTCCACCGTCAAGTCATATGGGTTTCGCATAATTTTCTGAAATTCGACCCTTGGGTACCCATATGCGGTTGCGCTTGCCATAATTTTACTCAATTACTTAGGTTATTACAAATGCAGCATTCAGTTACAGCAAAACAATACTAATTATTTCGCTTAAAGGAAGTTACACAAAAATAGCATTGATGATAAGAAGTCACAGAAGCGAGTAACCCTGGCCAAGCAAACAGTTAATCAAGACGGTAAAAACAAGAAATTTGAATGTCCTCCGTGTAAAGGCAGTGACATAGACTATCTACCATCAAGAATTCCCAAACAGATTCACAAGGACAAGAAGGGCGATGCTCCACCCAAGTTTAAAATTTTAACAGTTTAGAGCGCAAAATTCTGACAGATAATGGAAAATGGAAAATTTTCAAATCGTCATCACCTTTAAAGAATAAAGAAATATGCATGAAGGCATATCTTGGAACTATGCGCTTATGCAAGTAAATCCTATTTTTCTACGAATACATGCCTTGTTCCTGGTTATTTTGCTATTGCAAGCTGTTCTCATTAATGATTTAGTGGTCTATCGCACAGCAAAGGCAATCAAAAGCCCACTAAACGACAAGAGGGGAATCGTTCAGGGTTAGAACCGTGGCGCCTACCCCTTCGCCGACCAAAATAATCTCGTGCCCTCCAGGAACATGAGACACTGGCGTCAAAAACTCGGTTTTTGACTTCGTTACGGCAGCATGGGGAGGTGGTTTGGTTGATGGAGTAGCCTGTGAGAGCGGTACTGGCACAGCCGTGGTGATCTTTGCCGTAGTTGTCGGCGCCTTGGCCCGTCTACCAGATGCTTTTGATACTGATGTACTCTTCGTTGTGGCGGTATCGGTCTGACGAACCGGTTCCTATAACATTAACCAACCAATAGTTTGACCTCAGCTTATTAGTAAATAGGAAGCCTTAAAAACATTAGTTTGGGCATGCATATATACATATACATATATATATGCATGTATGCATGCTTTGGCATAGGTCGCCAACGTATTTTAGGTCAATACTTTTGGGAGGAAAGGAAATCCCCGAGGCTAAACTAATTCAAGTGTTCCGATTTCTGTATGGAATTAAGTCTAAAATATGAGGCGATTATACCAATTAAGAAACTTGTTTTCCAAGTCTTCAATCATAATTCTTCTCTGATAGAAGTGAAAAATTGGATAAACGCAGGCAGCTAGGGGATGTGCCAAATAATCGGGATTTCGGCGCGTGGTCATAAAATTGTATTACAATTTCACATATAACAAGCAAGAGCATTGTAAAGGGAAAATTGCATCTGACGAACTGCAGTTACACACGGAGTGAATATTAAATGTGTCACTAATTTGAAAGCCAGTCAACATTTCAACCACTTTCGTCACACCTAATTCAAAAATCTGAAGCTGGCTAGGGGTGAAACGCCTCATTAGATTGCACTTTGGATCCCAAACAAAAATCTGAGTCCAACATTAATTTCGGCAACTAAGTTGGCTGATGAATTTCACGTTCTAAACTCCATTCAAAGTAATTGCGTTGATCCAAGCCAAGCGAACATGTCTCATTGGCAGTGAAACATAAAACGAGTACAAAAGAGGGGAGCGGATTGGGAAGTAAATGCGCACTTTACTAATGAAGTAATGCCAAACGAGACTGAACAACTTTACTGCTAAAAACGGATTATTCTTAAATAGGGGAAAAAAGCCCCTATAATGTTTAACCAATTACCTTAGATCAGCACGCCCACTGTCGCGGTTTAAATCAGAACGCAAAGCACGTAACCGTTGATGTAAATGCTTGGGAGAATACTCACATTCCAGCTTTTAAGGTTAAGATATTCGCTGGCACTGAGGTGAAGGAGGCGACGAAGACCGTTAGTGATGCCCTCGCCATTGGCGATAGCCTCCTTGGGCAGGGATGTGGGAAAGGAGGAAGCGGGAGCTCTCGTCGAATTGGGCTGTATAAAGTCGTATTCGAAGCGAATGCGAGCAGGACAGCCGAGGGCGAGGTAGATGACTACCAACTTGATCCCCCGTGCCTCCTATAATGAATGCAGTGTAAATTAGTTGAATCAAATTACGATGGTTTTAGGCTGATTTGCCTCAAAGTAAAAAGGCTAGTGATGGAAAGGGAAACACAGATTGCTCAGAGAAATCGCGACATCGGCGATAAAATACCGGAAGGCATGGTCAAACAGCTCCATGCCTATAAATACGGAAGATACTAAATAAAGCTGAATAAAGACATAAGTTTTCTGCGCAAAAAGGTTCCATTGCTTGGAAATGAAACAAATAATAAGTACAAGGAAAAGATTCCCATTTCACCTGTAGTAAAGTAGATGCACTTGAATGTTTAGACAGATTCATTTCAATGTTTGAAGGAAAGTGAAAAAATCCATGGAGTGAAAACCTTGTGTTCAAACCATTTTTAGCAAAACCAAGGAAACTGCAACTAAATGTAAGCAGCGTACAGTCCAACTGTTCCTAACAATAAACCATGGATGTCCAAAAGGAGAGTATAATCAATCTCGCTGCTTTGTAGGCAGCGAATAAAAAACCTTTTGAAATAAAGTCGAAAATACAAGGATAATGCAAGCAGCAGCCTACTTGTAAACAAATAATTTGGGAGCTACAACCCAGTGTTGAGGCAAGTCGAACCAACTTCACTCCCAGTTATGCCACCCAAAAGTTTACATTTTATGTTCATTAATCAAAACCAATGCCTTGCTGGTAGGCGGAAATGCTCACTCACAAAAGGGAATGCATCAGGTAAAAGTTGACTCCCAAACTCTGCCTTAGCATACCCATGCCAAACAAAAAAACAAAATAAGTAGTCGATGAAAAATGTTTGTAATCAATTCTTTCGAAGAAAATCCCTGGTATTCACGAAACTTGATCCAACTTAATACTAATATAAAATTCTTGAGAATGCATTACTGGCGGTAATAACATCAAATCACCACCAATATTAATCGGAGAGAACACCACCTTTACCGATACGGTGAAGGCGTAGTCCAAGGAGTGGTAAAATTGCGCATTCACTTGCTGGCATAAAACCCATTGCTAAACAAGAAGTCAAGCCCAATCGGGCTTCGCCATTGGGCAAATAAAAAAATAAAAAACAAGCAATTAATAAGCCATCAAAAGTACCATTCAACGAAAGACTCAAAAAACCAAAATGCTTTAGCTAAAATACAGCTATTGTTGTTTCCTGTTAAATCTCATAATGCCGGACTCAAACTGAAGCATACTTAACATCACGAAGTAAACGAGGTACATTAAAGAGTTGTATGCCACGTAAACTGATATTCAGTGCATGAGCTCAGACCCTGTCTGATTCCAAGTCCGGATAGACCTCTCCATCTGCCAACGTATGCGCATGAGTGTTTAAAGAGCTGGTGTAAAAGAGTGCCGAGATAGAGTGGTTTCAGTCTCGTACACTTACACTACTTAACAATTTTTAGCCTACAGCAACGACTTTACAATTAAGACACGCTTTTGTGTCGTACTGGTTAATGAAAAGGAGTCAAGTGGGTGTATAGGCTTTTAATATCACTTTAAAAACATAAATAAAGCGATCACATCAAGTGCTATTATCCTCCCCTAACGATTTTCGCTTTTATCCTTCTTGATGCCGTTTATTCTCGATTACAAAGCACACGCAGACCGTTCCTTGGGATATGATGCGGAGCTTTAAACTTTAACAGTTTAGTAAT